TCAGGGCTCCTGACCCAGCCAAGGATTTCCTCTTCCCGGGTTCGAATTCACCCTTTCTCCCTCACCGCTCCTCACTTCTGGAATCCCCTTCCCAAACATTTGCGGACAATTACTTCTTTAGTTAACTTTAAATCTGAATTGAAGATGATTTTTGTTTTGGGAAGCTTTCCAACTTACAGCCTAATTTTGATAGTTAGGTAAGTGTAAGTGTGCATTGCTTTTATAGTCTACTGTTTTAGAGTTACGGTATTTTAATGATGTCGTTGTTTTATCATTTTTGCTGCTTTTGATTGTAGATTGTACATCGCAGTCTCAAACTGGATTATTTCTGCAGTGTGGATTGGATCCTCTCGCATCGAGTAAAATTCAGAGTGGTGCTGTGATTTGAGTGTTGGACTATGGACTTTATCACATGGGGAAAATCCTGTACAGAAATGGGATTTAAATAGAAAAAAACCCGCAAAAGCGGGTAGATTTTCACACAACGTCGATGTTAAACTGCGCTTAACTCAAATGGAAGGTAGTCAAAAGCCGCTTCTTTTTACGTTTGGGATTTTCCGAAAGTAAAAAGAAGCGGCTTTTAACTACTTTGCATTTGGGTTAAGCACAGTTTAACATTGACATCATATAAAAATTTACCCACTTTTGCAGGGTTTTTTCTATTTAAATCCCGTTTCTGTACAGGATTTTCCTTGTGTGATAAAGTCCTATGACTCTGGAGACCAGAGTTCGAATCCCTAACTGGCCATGGAAACCCAATGTGTGACTTTGGGAAATCACACTCTCTCAGCCTACTCCCCACCTGCTTTTTGCAATATCTTGTCTGACTCGGGGCCCATCCACACTACAGACTTTATCACACAGATAATAAAACTGGCTTACCTGAACTGGCTTAAAACTTTAAACGGGTGGCATCCTGATGTTATGAGAAGGATTTAGCCACTGAAATTGCCGCCCAGGTCCATTCCCACTCTCAGGGTTGCTCCGGCGGCCATTTCCTTAAGCCGGAAAACTCTCAACTTCAAAAAGAGCCCCACAGAGCACCCCTGCAAATGGGAATGGACCCGGGGTGGCAATTTCGATGGCTAAATCCTTCTGATAACATCAGGATGCCACCTGTTTTAAATGCTAAGCCAACTCAGGTAAGCCAGTTTCATTATCTGTGTGATAAGCTCATATGTTATAAACTGGTCTGGAAACTGGTTTAAAAGGAGGTCATTCATACTTGTGCTGGTTTTTCCCCAATCCAAATTTTGGGGGTCAGGGCAGCGCAAATCCCCCTTAACCCGATGGTTTTGAAACTGCGGTGTTTGCTGCGTCTTTTCAAAAGGACCATTTTTTTTAGGGAGCCGCCAATGGGAATGCGCTGCCGATCCAATTCAGGGCACCCAGGAAGAAGGGGCAATGGGCAAAGGATGGGCAGAGGGGCGGATGTGGGGTGCAATTTGAGTTTCCCAGGTTTTAACCCT